TTATCTATGTAGTATTGTTTTTTTTTCAATAATAATAGATATCACAATATTCTATTATATCTAAACGAAAATAATAATTGTTGTGGGCCAACAGAGCATTGTAAATATTGCTGTTATATATTTATACTCTTTTAAGTAATTTCTTGATAAATAATTGGATATACGTGAGCTTAAATTAAGAAAACTTCCTATATATGTTTTACCATTAATTTTTTTTCTTCCTTCATTTATAAATCCAATATTTATCATTGTTATCTTTCAAACCATTAACTTTGTGCTTTACTGTATCTTTTTATGTAATAATACTAGCCGTACTAGAGTAAAAATATTAAGCTTTTATCAGATTTGTCCCTAAAAAATTAGGCGTTTGAAATTTAAATTATATGATGTTACTTTTACCATGAGCCAGAGGAGAAATTCGAATTCCCATTATTAATGCATGAAATTAATGTTCTAACCGGTTGAACTACTCGGGCTGTTTAAAAGTAAATTCTTGTATTGCGCTACAAAAAAAAATTAATTTAAGGGAGGATACCCAGACTTGAACTGAGAACTTACTGTGCCACATACAGCTGCTCTACCTATTGAACTATATCCACCTTTTTTATCCGACTTTTTTTAGTTCTGTATTACATTAAAGACTAAAAATAACATAAAACAGGTTAACCAGGTAAATATTTAATTAAACCTTTTATACTCTGGATCCATATAACTAGTCATTTCTGTACTAGTATCTGCGTAATCCTCTAGATTAGATCTTGTATCAGAAACAGAATTAGGTCTAGTATTCGATTGACCGATAATTTCTTCGACAGATGAAACAGATTCTGAATCAGAACTACCAGAATTAGAGTTATTATTAGTTTCTTAAAAATGTTGAGTATTTAGACCACGCTCTTCCAAAGTGTAGTGAGACATACGAGATCAAATAAGTAACTCTGCTTTACACAGAACATAATTAGTTTCATTATCTTTGTGCATTTCATCGTATTAAGGCTTAATTCTATTCTCCTCAGCTATATAATGGCTTACACCATTAATATGCATACCGGAGCTATTTGCAACATTATTTGCTACCTATTGTTCTCCGTTTCCAATCGCACGTTAAACTTCTAATTTCTCCTCTTTTTCTGATAATAAATCCTCTTTCACTGAAACATATGCCCTATAAATATCTTTGTAACAACCTTCAAACATCTCCTGTGCTTCATCTTTGTTTTCTAATTTAAACACTGGACCTAATTTTTCTATCTCTTGTGGAGTTCAGTCAGGTATTGTTTGGTTATGTTTTTCTTTTGCGATATAAATGTAACCTATACCTAAATTATAATGAACCTCTTTATATAATTTAGATTGGTCTTTGTTCAACTTATCTCTAGGGCTGTCACTTATTGTATCAGGTATAGTAGAACTATCTTTATCGCCAAGTTTTGCCCTACTTTGTACCAGTTGAGTTAAATAAGAGCTATTATCGCTATAATGCCTTTTAG